ATGTTGTTTCAATCATTCTGTGCTATCTGGGTCCCTTTCTCTGTGCTGTGTGGCTAGCTGGTGACAAGCTGCGGCGCGTCAGGGAAGCTGGATTTGATAGGAGGCCAGATAGTGTCTCTCAGGCTTCTCCTCAAAGTGACAGTAAAGTCTCTGATCTCTCCACGAGTCTGCATGTGCGCTTTGGAAGTTCGCTCGGCGACCTGAAGTGACAGCAGCCAAAGTCAATACTAAATGAGTGGAGTGAGACCAGATTAGGCTCTGATTAGTGTCTGCGGGAGCAGCTGTGGGTAAATAATGAATAGTGGAAGAATACAAATAATAGGAACGCTTCCATTTATGTTTTAAACACCAAATCTTGCTAAATGAGATGTTCCTATTGGACAGCAGCGGAATACAAATGACATGCTAACATGGTTATGTCAACATGTTTTGCTGTGTGTCAAAAACGATGGGGATCTGACAAAGTCAGCAAGAATCTTCGACCTCTGGATAAGCTGTCGACAGATTTTCACACACAAACACTCACTGACACATGCATAGAGGAAAGGTGAAGGTCAAACCCATTCAGGTAGGATGGAATAGGAGATGGAAAGTAAACCTCCGTGACCGACAGATTTATTTATTTTTGCCTAAGTGATGCGATACAGTTCCTGATTAGTTTCTATTCAGCTCAGAGAGAAAAAGAAAAAACAGGCGAGGGAACTTGTTTCCCTTCTGAGCTATAAGAAAACAATGTAACACACCTGTAATGTTGATGGGCACCACATCTGTGGGCACGGCCTGAGCCGCCTGCCTCATCTTCTCCTCCGGGGTCGGGAGGGGCGGAGCCTTGTTCCAAACCACCTGCCCGTCGACTTCAGATGCCTCCCCCGCCTCGCTCCCACCCTGCGGCGTCGGGGATCTCACGGAGAGCTGAGATTTGTCATCCTCCGCTGACGAAGCTGTCGACTGGAGGAGGACAACAAAGCAAGAAAGGAAAGTTTAATGCGGCGGAAAATACGAAGCTTAAAAGAAACGGTGAGAAGCAGCAGGAACTAGTGCGACAAAACACGGGAGGGGAAAAAAAATGTGACTGGAAATTAAAAAAAAAAAAACTCCAGATACTTGTCTTAAATCATCGATTGAAGGCTCTTCGTGGATTGACCTTTCAGTGTTTCTGCTGCTATAAAGATGTTTTACGATCAGTCGGATCCAAATGAAATCAGCCTGTTGACCAAGCAGCTGAAGATGGCGCAATAAAAGCTGCAGGCCAGCAGCAAGGAGAGAGATAGAATCAGTCAAGCAGTCAACTGAGCTGGGACACTAAAAGCCCTCAATCGTAAAATCGCACAGGGGAACAGACAGCTATGTTAAACTGAGCCATTAGTCACCAGCAAACCAGTCATTTTAACATCTTTGTGTTTTCATCCAGAGGAAAACAATTCCAAATAATCCTGGAGAGATCCCTCCACATTCATGGTCTGTTTGTTTGTACTGGATGTAGGGGAGGGTGATATGGAACAAATAGAAAATTTCTGAAGAAACTTAAATGGGGCCTGCCAAAGTGTGCCCGTCGGTTGGAACCCAGCGTTCTGATGCTACAAATTAGCATCAATGCTAAAGGAAGCTGCAATGTAGTCAATAGCATATGGAGAATCACAAGCATGTTGAGTAACATGGACTTATGACATTCAGTGTGTTAAAATTAGCGTACAAGTTAAAATGAGCCAAATTGCTAACATTAGCCTAAATGCTGTCAATAGCATGTGGGGCATCGCTAGCGTATTGTTATACATTTACTTCCTCCATTCAGTATACTAAACGTGACTAATAAAGAAGAAAAATAGCTAATATCTATTTTTAGGGAAAAGGCTAATGCTAATGGGGAGCAGTGAAATCTAATGTTTGTGCTAATGTTAATATAATAATAACCGAAAAGAGAGATGCAACTTCCATCATGAATATAGATTAGCCAAGAATCCTATAAATTACAATGAAATACTGCTACAGCCGGTGGGCGCCGGAAGTAAGACCCACAATCGTTTCCCAAGTAAGAAAAAAAAAAAGAAGAAAGAATTCCTTTAAGATTAACTTATTTTGTTGATCCGGAACGCTTTAAAAATAATTAACTATTTGCATAGTGAATATTTATTGTCAATGGTGTAAAACTTTTGAGTAAATGTGGTGTTTAATATTCAGTGTGGCAAATTTATAAATCTTAAGCTTAGCTTCAGTTTGTGGAGTCCACACACCACTGACCAGAAAACGCTTTCTCAGCCAGAAAGGAGCTGATCTCCGATTCGCTAAGGCTGGAGTGCTAAATGTGCTTTCACACTCTCTTCACTGTAGTTTGTGTGAAACTGCTTTTAGATTGCTTTTTTTTTCCTTCCACCCACTACAGAGGGATGATTAGTTTAACTCAACCAATTCAGACAACCAAACTCAGTGATTGGAGGACAGAAAGAAAAGCTACACAAACAAACCCGGGCTGATTCCGAGAGGCGAGGAAGAAGAAAAGCTGACCACAAGTAAAGGACTTTTCTCAGTTTGATCATGTTGGCTATCCGGTGCTGCCAATGTTGACAGGCCAAGATGTTTAGGTTCATCTTGTTCATGTTCTCCCTTCTTAGAATAATGTTAGGCTTTAGTTAGGCATCAGAATGAGGCTATATGCTCCTGGTAATCCTTTGAAATCAATTTTAAGCATTGCAGTTTTATTTGAAAAATTGATTATTGGGTTTACTTTAAATACATTTTGAATCCCGAGGATTATACAATGTGCTTTACTGGACAGGAAAACTATTTACTCTTCAGATAGATTTTAAATTATTACAAGTCTGACTGATTTAAAAACCTTAATATCATATAAAGTAGTTTTAGCTCATCACTGGTTACAGATTTTGGCAATTATTCCTCATATGCAAGTCTAGGAAGTCTAAAAAAAATGTGAAAACAGGAGCTTAATGAGGGATTATTAGGCAAACAAGGTAACAGAACAAGGGAAGGGCAATTTTAGAGAGGGGGGGGGGAGCAGAGCGGTACTTTGGTAACAAGAGTGGATTGTTATCTGCATTTTCTCCAGGTTAAACATGAATCCAGTTTCCCTTTCCTAAACAGACTGTCAGGTTGAGTTAGGATCAGGACAACAAGTAATGACGGCAGGGAAAGGAGAGGGCAGACAGCAGAACGGACAACAAGCAGACAAAGAGGGCAAGAGTGGAGTGGAACTATGGCTGGGCCTGTTGGAAGTAGGTTAGTGTGAAGAAGTGAAAATGACGAGAGAAAGGGTGACAGGTTACAATAACAGTGTTATAAAGGTCAAAGGTCAGAGCATCCTTAAACTGCAAAATAGAAGTAAGCTGGAACATAAAGTCCAAGGAGATAAATACAGAACTCAGAAAATTTACTTTATACTGGTGACAGAGTACATGAGTAACAATATAAAAATTTCATGACCAAACCTCATACTTTTCCAGACTCAAATTAAAGTTTTCTATCCAATCGTATTTATTTTTTTTTGCCCAAATACATTCATGCTTAAAATTGAATTTATTTCAAATAATTCTATTGCGACTACACTTCAAACGTAACACTTTTAAAACAAACTTTCAGTAGGACTGATGGACGGCTACGTAAATTTAAATGACGGCTACGTAATTGTATTAACAAGGGGATCAATTAAAATTTGTCGTCCCCGTAAGCTTGGACATACAAATATTTTATTTTATTCTCCGTTTATCACATCTACCAAGAGTTACAACATAGTTGGTTTGTTTCAGACTATATTCTGTTTATATTATGCGCCATTTACAAGATACGTTCAATAATCACAAGTATTAAAGAAAACTTACTTTGTTTAGCTTCATAACCCTTGTTGCTCTTGTTTGTATTTTCTCAATTTTCTATTTCCGCTTTTTTTCTAATTTTTTTTTCTCCATTACTGCAATAAAATCGCTATGAACAAAAAGCACACCACTCTTAAGTCTGTACAAAAACGAGTATTAAGTGACCGACACCATTTCTGAAAAGCTAAATAGATTAGCAACTCAGAAATGTCTGAAAATATGTATTTTTCTTTCTAGCCACTAGAGGGCAGACTAAGCTTGATTTCAGGCTTTCATAGCAGGCTTCTGCAGAACATGCTGAGATCATTAAATCATTTCAATCAGTGAGTTTCACAGCATGGACACTGCAAAGGCAAAGAGGATTATTATGGTCACAAAGACCACAATAAGAAATTACCTTACACCGCACTGCTAATTCAGCAACTTTGCTAATGTTAAAGACAGCATGTTAACTTCCACATCTACACACATACCTTTCTGTCATTTTCATCATCCTCGTCATCCTGTAGGCTGCTGGTGGACTGTTTGGGGTCAGAGAAAGTGGGACCCTGAGAGTAGTACTGAGAGCTCCGGAAGCCATCTTTCCTCAACTTATCACATTCTGGAGGACAAAGACAGATAAAAAGCTTTTTTTAAAAAAAAAATAAAAAAAAATCAGTGGCTGTAAGAAGGTGACACCAAGGTGTGTTCATGGCTAGCTGACAGCATTCCTACAGCTTGAGTAGAAATGTACAATTAAGATTGCACACTTTTCAGTTTACAAAGAGTTTGTCTCTAATCAAGGCACTTAACTCAATTTTAGCAACAACTGGTGAACGGAGATTTGTTGAGATAGACAGTATTTCTCTAGGGACCGAACATCATTTTAACTTATTCAAATACCAGCAATAGAAACACTTGCTGCTCTGAGCTGGATTTTATAACCTATGACCAAAAAAGAGAAATCTTGGGTGTTGTGAACTGTCTTCTAGCACACTTTTTCCTTCCATTGAATTTCCTTATAATATGTTTGGACACAGCACTCTGAGCCTCTTCAGCATTGACCTTTGAGGTCTTACCTCTCTTAAGGAGGATATTGTTGACTGTTTTGCTGGAAAATCTGCAATCTACCCAGGATTTAATATGAGCCATTGCTGACCATATCAATACAAAAATCATTCTTGTCTAATGTGATACTCTTATTTTGAAAGAAACCGAATTTAGTTTTTACATTGTATGAACACTCTAATCATTAAAATCAATACAAACAGGTTTTTTGAGACCGATGAATCTTTTCTGACTTAAATTACTCAAAGTAACTAATTATTTTTTAATGTATTGAAATTACAACACATTAAATATTGAGCTTTTCATCTATCACCCCTATTTTATATGGCACGCATATCTGCTAAGAACATTTTCTGTTGTCCAAAGAGGAAAATATTGTAAACTGAGCTTGTTTTGTACATCTGACAGTTGTGTGAGTGTGATCCCTTTTGTACTCTGCCAAGTGCTGCTTCTGTGTCTTTTTGTCACCACCTGCTGTCATGAGGACATGATGTGCGTGAGTGTATGTGTGTGTGTGATCTGAAGAGACGCGTACTTGTTTATGTGGAAGCAGAGGAGGTGATATCAGTTTCAGTCTGTCACACACAGATGGCACAACCATCCCTCTCTCCCCTGCTTCCTCCTGTTCACTCAGGGGGCATTTAACACATTGTTGCTCTGTTTGTCAGTGTCTGCAGTTTTCCTTTTTTTTTTTTTTTACTAGCGCATCCTTTGTTTTGCTTTTTTATCGCACAACTTTTTGAGTACAGCACCTTATGTATTCAAAATCAAAAAACTCGATTTCAATCAACTTGCTTGAGCCTCGATTTAATGTCACATCAACCAACATCCGCTTTTTTTTTTTTTAAGTATTTTCTTTTTACCCCTTTTGAAGCTTTACTAATTAAGACGAATGTAAAAATAATAATTAAAAAAAAAGGCTTTCACTTTATATACTTGTTTGTTTTTGATACACATGCAGAACCTCTTGATGAATTCTGGCTGCGTATCAAAGTGAGCCCACCTTGCCATTAGCTTGGCACCTCAGAGATCCTCCTTTTGATCCCGTTTTATATTTAATTCATCCCCGTAGCTAATTACAGACTATCCCCGATGGAGAGACACACCGATGCATGTATAATACTGTCAACTAATGGAGCCTGATGGGGCCAGCACACAGAGCTAATGTAAGAACAAGCTGATGAGGTGCCAGTCAGTGAGATGGGAATTAGAAAAGGATGATGGTAATTAGGAGGATGACAGAGAGAGATTGGTGGAACATGATTTAGGGTGGCTGATTAAAAAAAAATAATAATACACCAGAGAGAAGTGCTTCTAGTTGCTAGGCAGGATGGAGGAAGAAGCAAAAGAATAAAGCAAGTAAAAGATGTTCCGTGTGTTTCAAAGAATGACTAGATACACTGTCTAAGAAGTATTTTACATAATTATAGCTAAACTATTACATCATCACATCTTATTTCTTTTCTTTTCTTTTTGTTGGTGAATGTACAAACCTATCCAAAGAAAACAAACAATCTGCCAAAAACCGCTAAACAAGTATCAGATTAACTCTGAGCAATTATATTCTAATGCACAAGCAAAGATTTCTACAGGACGGTGCAACATTGCCACGGTACTACGGTACTTTTGTACTAAATGCATTATAACTGTACTTTTTCTTTTCCCTGTATTTGCAGCAGGTAGGACAAGCCACTCATTCACACTTTAATCTGTGTCATAATTTTCCATGTTTTAGGCCCAGTCCACTCCAACGCAGATATTTCTGCTGATAGTCTCTGTTTACACTTCCTGTACACATGCATGTTGTTTTTTTTCCCATTCAATAAAAAAAAAAAAAAACTTCCATAAAATGGAAAAAAAAAAAAAACCACAGGCATGTGTTTAGAGGTGTATGCTGGTGGAGCGGTGTTTAGATTTTAGTGAAAATGTGTAAAACTCTCCTGTATTCTGTTGTTCCAGAAGCTGAACTCAAATAATTAAGTTTCCTCCAGGCAATTCAGTTCTTGAAGGGACTGAATATGATTATATTTAAATATTTTTGACTAACAAACACTTTATATTAACATCCTAACGACTGAAGAATCGGAAGTTCATTAACTTCAACCGGCTCACAAGTTTCATCATGTGAAAAGGCCTCATTTTGGTGTCAGACGGACACAAAGTATTGATTATTCAGAAATGTGGAGCAGTAAGCAGGGTCATGTGTCTATGTACTGTAGCTGGTTGGAAACTGTGACCAAATCTTATTTAATTAACCTTCTTTCCCCTCATTTACTCTTGCCCTAAAGCATACAGTAATTTCCTCTGGGTCACAATCCAACCACAACTTTATAATAATGAAAAATATGAACCATTTTGTGCAATAACGATTGCACAAAGATACAAAAAATAAAGTTTATAACACTCAATAATGATAGTAATTTTCTTTTCTCCTGTTTTTAATGTTAAATGTTTGTATTGTCATTTGAAGTTACATGTTTTTGTTAATTTTAAGAGAATTCTGAATCCAGAGGTGGTTTTGGTTTTAGAAAAAAAAAAGGAAAATTGTTCACTCTTCAGACCTATTTCAATAAACTGATTGATTTAATATAATTTAATGAGATTTTGACTTACTCAAACTGCAGGATGCGTGTTTGTGTGTGTGAGACTCAAATAACAGATATCAATCACAGCTTGTGATAATAAGGTATTGATTAGAGAACAGTAATGTATTTTAAGTCATCGACTATTAAACTGAGTGTGAAAAGACGCATGGAGGGTATGAAAAGTCAAATTGTTGATGGTATTAAAAGCCCAAAAGTACAAAATGGTGACATATGGAAGGTCTTTTTAGCTACAAGAAAACTGAAATTACAGTACAAAGTTGTGACTGATGTGCGGTCATCAACAAAGTCTTGCAGGCCTCCTGGAATTGGACAGGAACTTTCGTTGGACACCTGTTGTCTGTCAGATGGGACACCTGGGGGTTTGGGACGGTGTTTGGTTATGGGGGTTTCCACTCAGGTGATGTTTGTGTGGTTTTCTGCTTAGCAACATCAATATTTCAGGGAGTAATATCTATTAGTAATAGTTCAAGGGTGAAACAAAAAATGGGAAAAGAATCAGCAGCGAGACAGGGACTCCAAAAACTGAAAGCATCGTGTTACAACTGCTTGTTCCCCATTTGCTCCGATTTCCCACCATTAACTCCAACACACAAGGCCAGACCAGAGTGTAAACGTTCTGTTTACAGTAGTTAGTAGTTCAGCACACACGCACATGCACGCGCACACACCTGCATGGGCTGCATCGACTTCTCTCACGGTTATCTGAGCAATGAGGCGATAAGGAGGATTTTCCAAAACGTCTTAGCAAAACCAGTTTCGGGATTCACCGGTATTCCTGCTTCCCGTTCTGGGAAATTGATGATTTTATATGCACTGTTGTGTCTGTGCTGCAATGTGACTGCATGTGTTTACTGAGCAACAAAGGTGTGCCTTGTCGCCAAGTGCACCGGACAAACAGGAAGGAGGAGGATCTCACAGTGTTGTGTTGCTGGATAAACACAAAATGACGTGTTTGGACATTTTTTACTGTGTCGCACACAAAGACTTGTTGCCTTGACGCAATGAGAAATGCTGATCTCTGTCTACTGTTCTAGTGGTCAAACTTAGAGCTAGTAACACATTTAGCCAGTAACACATTTATAATTACACAGAAAACTTGTCCTTTTCAAAGTTTAAATATCGTGAATCATTTGCATTTTGTTGTTTTGTTTTTTTTATGACAAATCTATCGTCAGAGCTAGAAATTAAGCAGCACCTTTGCTTATGATAAATACCTATTTTAAAATAGGCTAAATGTAAATTATTTCAAGTTAATTTACATTCTCTCCTTTGACACTCCCTTTTCACAAGGGAGAAATTCAAATCATTCAAGAATAAACAGGACTATTTAAAGGATTATCGTTTGCTTTTCATTTGTTTGATTTTGATTTTATGATTCATAAATTCATAGGAAAATATGAGGACATGAAACCTATATTAAAACAGAGATGCAACAAGAAATATAATGTAATCAGAAGATTGACACCTGGTTCAACCCTGAACAATGAGAAGCTGGTTGGACACCAGTTTGATCTTTGTCCGGTTACTGAATGGACCATATTAAACACAACCAGGTTCTGTTGGTAGTTATGCTCTTCAATGTGAAGGTTGCAACTGAAAGAAGACGCCTCCATGTAAGCCACTTTCACTATTATTGAGTTGTTTGAACTGTGTTTTCCAAGTCGCATCAAGACATGTCTACGTTTTATTCAGGCTGCAAGAGAGCGAGAGAGAGCAAGGCTTTCATTGGATAACAGGAAGGATGAACAAAGAGAAGTAAATCTTTCAACCTCACTCACTGAACAGGCTAGCTTCAACAGCCTTTAAATGAATGCTCTACTTACTCTATTTTTTATGCAACTGATGTTAACTGCCATAAAAAAAATGAAAAAAATATTACAATCAATGGACGACCTAAGAAATGGTCTAACAGTGCATATTTTGCAGCTTTTGTCAAGGCGTTTCGGTGTTTAATTTAGGCGACATTTACCTCGCAAAGCAGTCTTAAGGTTGACTTTTGCCTGCCGGTGAAGGTCTTCTACACAGGGTGGCCTGCTGCCGGGGAGGAAGACATTCTCCTGTTGATGCCAGGGAGCCGTGTAGTGAACCGTCCATTTGCTCTCCTCGTCCAGGTTAGACACAGCTGCAGAAACAACAAACATCAGGTTATGAACTTTGTTGAATTACCTGTGTGAATTATTTTGCATCTAAAGTACCAAGTCCCACCATCTATTTTCTCTGGGGAATTGTAGTATATTGATGAAAACAATCAAAAATGCTAATGTAAAGTCATTATGATTTTTTATTTTTTTTTATCAAGAAGGGTGCCTCGGTATATCTCCTCTAAGAGAGTATTTTGCCACTTCTCTCTCCTAGTGTTACTTTGGTTTGGTCAGGGACATTTTTTACTACAGTAAATTATCCCAAATAGTATCTAGAAGCACAATAAACTGAAATAGGTTGTAGTATAAAGTCTTTATAAGGCAATATACAAATGATCTTTGAATTTTGAGCGTTTTAACAGTTACTCGTCTCCACAGTTTAAGAAAAATATGGAACTGCCTAGGGAAATAGTTAATGGGTAAAAAAAAAAAAAAAAGAGTTTGGCTCCCAATAAGAAATGGGAATGGGACGAGATGAAATGGCAAAGTGTGGGTATGAAATAAGGGTATAAATTGGTAACGACTGAAAGTGATTGAAGAGTTTGTTTACACAAACTGGCGGAAAAGAAGGAAAGAGATGATTTAGGTGATCTTCTAAAGAGGTGCCAGACTCCCCTCCATCAACTCGACACTTATTTGAGACATCGCAAAAAAGTTTCACAAGTCAGAGGGGGAGGACAGTTACAGCACCATCTAGGACTGAACTAAAACCTCTATTCAACCGAGCCCTTTTCAACAACAAAATGTTCCTCCAAGAGACAGATGTGAAATGAACAGCATTGTTCCAAACAGAAAACTAGCCAGACTGAAAAATGCTCACTATAGATAACCTTCAAACTGCGACTACGTGCCTTTTATCAGACAGACGTTTTCTTCACGCCACTGGAATGAAGGAATTTCTTCCTAATCTGTGCATCCATTTCCATCAGTAGCCACCACTACCTCCCTTAATGAATGTAAATTTGATTTGGACTCGTTAAGCTTACCAAGTGAGCGCAGCCAGGCCAAGGTGGGCGACTGTGGATGTAGAATTAACTCCATTTAGAGCAGCAACTGTTTCGCCTTCATGACCACTACGACTCTGAGAGATCGGCACAAGTCCCGACCGGAGCAGGATGAAGGGGGCCGGATCACAGCAGTGGATGTAGGTGTGGGGAGTGTTTTTGTTCTTTCCTACACAGGTGCAAATGAGCCACAGCATGTGTGTGTGTGTGTGTGTTGGGGGTGGATGGAGGAACTAGTGGGTCAGAGGAGGGGGGGGAGAGGGGCGTAGAGCTACAAATGAGTCGTTAAATAACATGTAGTTGCTTTGATATACAGTTAAACTTTTACTATGTCTCAACACTGATCATTACCAAAAGGTGCTTCTGTGTGTTTGACATTCATGAATTAATGTCTTTCTACCTCAGAGGAAATTGGTAGCAACTCTTAAATTCGGCACCTTCATGCCTCCACAGCTCATTCATAAACGTTCAACCATTCACCGCTTAAATGCTGAAGAGAAGGTTCATTGTAATTATTCATGTCCCGTCTCCATTACTTCTTTTTATCAGTTCCTCCATATCTGCTACGCGTGCTTTGCATGTGGTCATGTTGAATTGCAAATGGCCGGTACAGGCGAGGAGTCTGGGTTCCCGCCGCTCAACATTATTGTTGTCAAATAGAACAGCAACATGGGTGAGCTTTAAAACCAAAATTTTTAAAAGTGAGGCAACACAAGCATGGCAAATGTGGAGATTCACGCTGATTGGTTACCATCGCAACAGGAGGTGTTTCTAGGAGTAGTTTTTCTGGAGCCCTTATTGCCCTATTGCGACTCCACAGCATTTACCAAAGTAACAACAAATTATCAGGGTAGAATTTTTAAATGAAATGTTGTGGTGAGAGGTTGCCAAGCACTTTGAACTGGTTTAATTTTTTTTTAAACATTATGCTATAGTCATTTCTGCTCATAGGAGACTTTGTTCCAGAAAACTTGGTTTTGTCTGTTGAACTTCAGGAAAACGGCAAAGCAGCCAAAATGGAGTTTCTATAAATCAAGGCTGAAGACACGCATTGCCGTTGAGCAACAATAACTGGAACACCGATCAATATATGTGATGTAAATTTGGAAGTGATTACCATGATGGATGGCATTTGATATAATTAGTTACTGTTTTATCTTTTTAGCGTGCAGGGTTTCCCACAGATGGGCTACCAGTCTTTACTTGCGCCCCCACCAGGATATGCATTGTTTGTTAATTTATTTTTATTTTATTTATATATTTATTTATTTATTTTTCATTTGCCTGATTTCAGACTTTATAGTTGGTTACCTAGTGATATTTTTCAGATTTCCTGTCAACTTTAAACATTTTTTTTTAACCCAACAGCGCAACAACCCATCCAACAGGTGGGTTGTTGGATGGCTGCCCTGGCACCAGCGCTAACAAAGCTTAGCAAGTTTTCTGGGGGAAGCCCCGAGCATGTAAAACACTTTGAACGGCCTTGTTACTAAAACATGCTACACAAGTAAACTTGTCTTGACTTGACTAGATGTTAAATCATTAGTCTGTTTACAGAAATCTATGAGCAAAGAATGTAAATCCTTTATTCAAATGTAAAAGTTTAGGGCTTAAGCCCTTCATTTATTTATGAAACACAAATAAATTATGGATCATTAACAGATTTTTAAGTAAAGCACCTTTGCTGCTCTAAGTTTGTGTCATTTAGACTCCTTTTGAAGTGTCTTTCAGGCATTATTAATAAAAGTATGGGAAAACTCTGTCGTGACAAAAATACTCAAATTATTTTACACCACAACTTATCAGATCATCCCTCAGCAGACTGTGAATAAGGGCTGATTTTAAGCTAATCAAAGATTTCACGTTCTCCTTTATTTTTCTGTCACTCACACACACACGCACGCAAGCACACACACACACACACACACACACACACAGATGGGACAGGTAGCCCCTTCCCCCAGCCTCCTCTCCTACCATGGGTTTTGAAAAGAGTAGTGACCAGACCAAGGACATGGAGACTGGGGACACAAAGCCTGTATTGTCCCACCGCATCAGTCTCCACATCAGGCGGTTCAGTGCCACAATAGCCCCTAACTCCCAAACACACACACACATAGGACACTGGCGCATAAGTCTTTTTGAAAGTTCAGTAATCCCTCTGTCCACCGACATCCCAGCCCTCCCTAGGCTCCTACCATATAGAAACTGGGAGAAAAGAGGCTAGTGAGAAGTTTGAGGAGAATGTCATGAAAACCGGTAATGAGAAACAGGCTGGAGGACAATGGGAACATGGTGGACAGAAAACAGTTTGTACAATATCTATGTTCCCTCTACACTAAGTCCTTTATTTTGCTACCCTCAAATTAATACAAGTTACTGACATTTAAACTACATTCATGGTTCTCCACCTGCAGACCCAAATCAAACTGGTGGGACTGGAGACGTTTTTAGTTGTACTCGAGAAAAAATATGATACAAATTCTTTGCAAACAACCAAAGAAACTTTGCAGCGATTAAGTTTGATGTGTGAAATAAAAGTTGCCGTAAACTACTAAGAATATCTTGGAGAAACATCTTGAGCCCAACATAAAAATTAACTGGTCATTTATTTTCCAGGGTACAAAATATGCTGCGAAGGAGCTTTTATTTTAACAAGTGAGAAAAGTAAAAGGTGGAGGTAATGATTAACAACACCTCTGCCTCAACTTTGACACAATTATAAGCTATAAATAACCTGCAGATAAACTTTTCAAGCAGCTTGTCCTGCGTCAAGGAGGTTTAAGTCCTCACGTGCGTAGTACACACTCATTGATTAAAGTCGTGCAATATTATCCTAAGAGTATTAAGCACAGTTTACTTCATCTGTATGCTACATATGACTTTAGTATTTTCTTTACTGAATAAAGAACAAAAACACTACATTATCTCTGAAAGTGAAAGGAATCCAAATCATCTGTTGTGATTTAAAGTATCTTCATTTTCTTATCAATGCTGCGTATCAGTACCATGAAATCTTTAACCAAAGGTTACCTGGTAACAGGGTGAAACACAGCGGAGGCAGCGGTAAGGCAGAATGGCCACAGGAGACTATTAGTTGTAATGAAAATCATTTAAACATTATTAATTGAAGTATTTGTTGTTGTCTTTTTTCCCCCTTTTGCAGAAGTTAAAACATGAACAGCTGGCGGAAATCCATATACAGAGCCAAAATGTTGTTTTAATCTGATGACAAACAGCAAAAACGTTTAAGATGTAGCCGTTTACAGGATCCAAAGGAAAAAGAAGAGATAATCTTACCCTTCCTCTTGAAGTACTTAATTACAGATTTCAACGAGGTCCCAATGAACACCATTATTCCGACTGAGTGTGATATTCTTTAAAAAAAAAAAAAAAGTGGCAGAAAATCAACCAAATCCTGGAATAAAACAGGGATACAGGAAGATGAAGGTGTGCTGCTGAGGACGCTCACATTCTCACAAGTCCACGCGGGCGTCTACTGTGCTGACAATACGTCTCTAACCCTACATCGCTCTACAAACACACACACACACACGGTCCACCACTCCCCCACCCATCATCAACACTACCACGCCTCCAGCAGCCAGTCCAGTCCTCAGAGAGACACACACACACACAGCGGGTGGAGGGGGGCAGCCCCGGCCCCTCTCCTTCTCTGTGTGATGGTTACCAAGGAGTTCTGGCAGCCCAACCCTTTACTTCTCATCATTACAGATTCGTCTGCAGCATCTTCGTGCATCTACGCTGACAGAGCTGAAAGTCAAAGCTTTTTGTTAAAGCGCACAAGCTTTGACAGCTGATAATTATTCTAATATGTTTAGTTGTTTTTTTTCTTTCCCAAGCTTTCCAACTTGCTCTATGACTAAAACTCTATAACATCAGGACACTTAGACACTCCTACAACCTGGAAAATAACATGCATCAAATCACTGCAGTCACATTTATCACGTTTAATA